AGGACCTTGTTATTTATCTTTTCTATATATAACAGTTTGCATCTGCTAATCCCAAATTCCTAGTCCATTCTTCCTCACCCCACCCATACCCCAGCAACCACAAATCTGTTTTCTCTGTGATTCTGTTTTGTAGGTTAGTTCATTTGTGCCATATTTTAGATTCCACATGTAAGTGATTTCACATGGTATTTGTCTTTCTGTTTCTGACTCATTTCACTTAGAATGATAATCTCTAGGTCCATCCATGTTGCTTCAAGTGGCATTATTTCATTCTTTTCTATTGCAAAGTAGTATTCCATTGTATACTAGTAGCATAATGGTATTCCATCTTCTTTTATCCATTCATCTGTTGTTGGGCATTTAGGTTGCTTCCTGTTTTGGCTATGGTAAATGGTACTGCTGTGAACATTGGGATGCATGTTTCTTTTCAAATTAGGCTTTTCATCTTTTCTGGACATATGCCCAGAAGTGGGGTTGCTGGATCATATGGCAACTCTTAATTTTTTGAGGAACCTCCATACTGTTTTCCATAGTGGCTGCACCAATTTACATTCCCACCAGTAGTGTAAGAGGGTCCCCCTTTCTCCACATTCTCTCTGCTGCTGCTGCTAAGTCACTTCAGTCGTGTCCGACTCTGTACGACTCCATAGACGGCAGCCTACCAGGCTTGTCTGTCCCTAGGATTCTCCAGGCAAGAACACTGGAGTGGGTTGCCATTTCCTTCTCCAGTGCATGAAAGTGAAAAGTGAAAGTGAAGTCGCTCAGTCATGTCTGACTCTGTGTGACCCCATGAACTGCAGCCCACCAGGCTCCTCCGTCCATGGGATTTTCCAGGTAAGAGTACCGGAGTGGGGTGCCATTGCCTTCTCTGCCACAGCACCTCTCTCTCTACAGCACCTTATTTCTTCTCATCATGATCATCAGCAACTAGCTGTTGAATCCTTTGGGTAAGATAGTTGGAGACAGGCAAAAAGCCTTTGGGTTTATTCACAGTGAATTTAAAAGGATAACTACTAGGATCAGACAATTAGTGTTAGGAGAAACAGAGGCCATAGGAGGCCAGATCCGGACCTTGTGACCTGGACTCCCTGGAGACAGTGCTGTGAGTGAGGTGAGGGCTAGGTTGGTCTGTGAGGAACGTTTAGGATTTAGAAACAGCCAGTGAGTTTAACTTTTTTTTTAGCTTCGCATTGGCAACATGGAAATGGAAGACATACAATCTAGGCTGTGTTGTTAAAGCAAGATTGAAGGCCCTCAGCCCGACTGCCCCTACCTCCTGGAGGTGCTCCTGAGAATTGTCCTGGGAGCATGCTGAGAGTTGGAGGAGCACCAGGAAGTGTGCAGAGTTGGGCCAAGGGCCTTCTAAGCTAGGGATGCTTCAGGAGGCTCCGTACTGGCATCGCAAGCTCAAGGCTGGCCCGTGGAGTGGCTGTGCTTGGGACTGCCTGGTGTCGGGACTTTTGGGGTGTTGGTGGTGAAGTGCTTTCTGTCTCCAGGACCACAGCTGCTCGGCTCCAACCGATGTTCTGTGGAAATGTGGATTTCAGGTGTATCTGAGTTTATGAAGTCAGAAATACAGGTTTTTATGTGAAGGTCTTAAAAACACTACCTAGACCAAACAAAACACCTACAGTTGACATCCAGACTGCAAGTCACTCTTGCTCCCAATGACATAGAGACTTGAGCATGTGATCTCTTGGTGAGAAGTCGCCCAGTGTGCCTGGGGGGCCAGGGGTCTGTACAGAGAGTGGTTAGTGAGGCTGGAAGAGCACTGCGGGCCAGATTGGGGTGGGCTTCGGTGATCTTGCTGGAGAGCAGTGACCAGTCTCCTGTGTGTTTTGGGAAGATGATTCTGTCAGTGGTTGAGTAGATTCAAGAGGTCACCTGTCAAGGCAGTGAGATTTTTAGTTAATGCTGTTTGGACACATGATTAAGTTTAAGGGGTTGATGTGCAAAAGAAAAGTAAAATGAAACAGTTGTTGACTTAGATTTCAATCTGTTGCCCAGAACTTGTCCAACTATACATTTGTGTCACTAGATGCTTTCCAGCCCTTCATTTTGGCTTCAAGCAGAACAGCACATTTTTTTCTTGTTATGATAAGATACATATAATATATACCATTGTAACCATTTTCAAGTGTAAGGAATCAGTGGCATTAAGTACATTCACCTTTGTGCAGTCATTACCACCATCTATCTCTAGAACTTTCTGTCATCTCAAAACTGGAACTGTACCCATTAAATAGTAACTCTCATCCCCCCACCCTCAGCTCTAGGTAACCTCTGTTCAGCCTTCTGTCTTATATAATACTGCAATGTTTGTCTTGTTGTGTCTGACATATTTATCTTAGAAGCTAGAACAGTTTTATAACTTACACTTTGATGATTTGAAGGTAGGCTGTTTAGTCTCTAAGGCTGTTTAGTCTCTAAGTCATGTCCGATATTTTGTGACCCCATGGACAGTAGCCCACCAGCCTTCTCTGTCCATGGGATTTCTCAGGCAAGAATACTGCAGTGGGTTGTCATTTCCTTCATCGGGGATCTTCCCGACGCAGGGATCAAACCCACGTCTCCTTCACTGGCAGGCAGATTCTTTACCACTGAGCCACCAGCAGTATGTGAAGTCAAGAAAAAAAAGGAAAATGTTTGGAAGTCATTATTTCTCTATGTTCAGCCTTCTGCTTCTGGGATCCCTCACTGGGTACATTCACTTTAGATCTTCCTGTAGCCTCTTTCTCTGGAGTGTTGAGCAGCGGGGCTTGATGAATGCAGGATACTAAGAAGTAAGAGACCAGGCCAGTTCCTGAAGGCATTTATGCAGGGCTTTGGTAGCATCATGGGTAGAAGTGTAATTTTTTGTGGCCGCAGCTCAGTTTGGGAGGTTCATGCTGGTGCTGATGCTAAGTCTCTGAGTGTCCTGAAATAAATGTTCTTTGTTGATACCAGCAGCCACAGGAGGGCTGGAAGACTCAGATGTCTGATATTTGCATGCCTTAAGGTATCAGATTCTGCCACTGCATGCTTTCTGGTGGGAACAAATGTGTAATTTGATTTTGAGTTTTTGGATTGAAATTGCTGGTTGGGGACTTATGTTTTTGTTTTAATGACGCATGTAAGTGTGATATTTGTCCTTATACACCATGTGTATATTTGAATGGATCCCAAATTAGGAAAAAATGTTTCCTTCAATTTAATGTCAGTTTTGGAAAGGAGTAGTCAGGTGTTCCCTGAAAGTTCTAGAGGTGGCAGATAGGAATCTTAACCATGGCTTATTGGCACAGCTGTCAAAGCCTGGTTTCACTCATGCTAATAACTTAATGTGCAGGAACTGTTAGGGATGTTAGAAGTCATTTAAGTTCAAACTCTAAGCCTCTGGAGTTTACTTCGGAGGGCATTAGGAAATTTCAAGATGCTGCATGTGAAACATTTAGCATCATGAGTGATATATTATAGATGTTGAGTAAAGACATTAGAACAGTGACTGTTAATATTTAGTGGAGTGTGTCTGTGTCCAAAATAGGGGATCAGGACGGCAGGTGCACTAACCAGCGGATGATTAGTGTGGGGGAGAAACAATTTAGAAGAGTCAGCTTGATCTGTTTCATTAACTGTCTAGAGAACTGGCAAGCAATAGAATTAGATTTTTTATATGTCATAGTTAGAGCTCAGAACAAAACATTGCTGTGGAAAGATCATAGCTCCAAGCTAATGAGGACTTTCTAATATTTAGATTATCTTGAAAACAAACAGGCTATATTAGGATATAGAGGAGATGCTCACATTCATTATAGTTAATGTGATAACTCCAATCAGATTCTTAATTACAACTATTATTCATCCCCATTTTACAGATGAACTTGTGAGCAGGGACTATTCTGTCCACAAGGCTCTTCTGGAGGAAGCCTGCCGCCTGCCAGGCTCTTAATGATTTTAGACTCGTGAAATTAAAATATTTTCACTCACCTCATGTCTGTTTATCCTGCAGTCCAATTTGCATTGAGTGATATGTGCATCCACCTTTCTTTAAAATGTTCATTTGTTTGGTCTTGAAAAAATGTATTCTTTGTATCTAAAATGTCCTACCACCAATTTTTTTTGTCTTGTGAATGTCCTTGGCCCCCTGCCCCGCCCTTTTATGTCTCATGGATGGTTGAGAAATGCTTATGTTCACTGTCAGCACGTTAGTTGTAACCTTTTATTGCTATTGATATCTGTAAGCACGTTAAGTAAATCTTCATTTTGCTGACCTCTTTGAAGACGCATGGCATCAGCAGATTCTCTCTCTCAGTGGACAGGTGAGAGATTAGCGGGATCAAGTCCATTTTTTCCCTCCGTTTTGCTTTGTTTTCTCCAGAGCGCAAGATTCATTGTCTAGCAAGAGGGAAGCTGTGTTAAATGGCAGAATTTGTCTTCCGGTTAATGGTTTAAAGAGTGGATGTAAATTATACAGCTTGTTTGCGCAGTGCCTGATAAGGTACCGCACTAGGGGAATTCTTTTGTAAAAGCTGTTTAAGCAAGACTGTTATTTTGACTCAGCCAGATTAATAACATAAAAATTAATAGCAAAGGAGCTTTGAGCTTTGCTGTATAAAAATTGGCATATGGACACTTCGAAGCGGCAGTTGCCTCTTCCCTTCTGAGATCAGTAAAGACTGCTTTGCCAGACCGAGTTCCACCTTTAGTGAGGGGAGAGCTTTCTGGGTCCTCCCGTAAGAAGTTCCTGGAGTCGTTTGTTAAGCTGCTGACCCATTGGGAGGTCACTGGGAATGACAGACCCATGTGGACCCAGGGTGACCATCCTAGCCCCGCAGGGTGTGGAGACATCTTAGGAGGCTTGTGAGAGTTGTACCATGTGGAGTTCTTCAAACTGGGGTTGAAGATTACTGCCAAAGAAGGGCCAATAGGTATTGGTGGTAGGGACGTGAGGACTCATTCCTCGAAGATATTTTTTCTTCTTTTGTCATGTGTTCTAACCATTTTCCCCCCTCTATGATTTGTAGGAAACTGGATCTCTGGAAGAATCTACAGATGAGTCCGAGGTAAGGTGGTGATTCAAGAGCATGGAAATTTCTAGCTGAGCCAACATCTTGAGCTGGTCATGCCTTGCTAAATGGAACATTCCCCAGGTTTGGGAAGGTAAGGTAGGGTCATAGGTGATTAAACCTCGAGGAGGAATATGTTGTTCATCTTTTAAAGTATTAGATAGATTCATTTAAAAAATAAATGAGAAAAGGAGCAAAAAGTGTTTTCCTTATTTTGATTAATATTTTAATCCTAAGTGTGTTGGCAGTGAGGAAATTCATGCCAACTTTTACAAACTAATCTTGACACTTAAAAACCTATTTTTAAGAATAACCATTGTAGGGTCTAAAGTATTTATTTTTTGTTCTTTTAATGAATATGATGTGCTCCTTAGTATAATTTCTGAATCCCTGAAATGATATTTCATTAAAAGGGAAGTAGCTACCTGAGAAACTGTTAGGGAGCTCAGTTGTAGTAAAGATTGTATTTTAAGGAGAAAAAGTAATATATAAAGGAAGCCTCTAAAAAATTTTCTTCTCAAGGCTATGCATAAAAAATAAGTTTAAGCATAACACTGATCAATTAGCTTATTAGTTTTATGGATGGACTAATAATAATAGTTACTTTTTTTTCTTTTAGTATTTCCTTTGGCTCAGAGGACTATAAAAGTATCTGTGATAACTTTTTGAAAATCGACACCAACATGCTATTTAATATAATAATTAAATTTGGACCGATATTACAGATAATCTCTTTTATGCTTTGGGGAGAAAAGGTGGTCTTATACATATTCCTCAAGAGAACATCTTCCATATTATGCCATCATACATTCGTAGTTTTTCGAGTTGTAGTTCCTAACATTTTCACTACTAAAGATCTGTGATGCTGTCTTAATCCCGGTAAAGTGTAACTGAATTTACTTATAGATAGGATATAATAATTGTTGATTTTCAGTAATGCATTGAAAGCATTTCAGAGCACCGTTTTTACTTTTGGAGAACTCTGCTTTACTGAGAACCCTGTGTTCTGAGGATCACCAATTCAGAATCCTGCAGTGTTGGAGCCCTATCCAGGAATTTCATTTCCAGGGTGAGCAGGATGTTGGCAGCTGCGTCCATCTAAATCTTTCCACCCATCTTTCAAATACGAAATGATCCAGAAGGAGAGCAAACAAAAGAATCCATAACCCATGCCTCCAACATAATTAGATAACAGGGAGCACTGTAAACTTCAAAATAAGTGTGGAAATAAATATTTGAAACCAATAGAGCCAGCTTTGGATTGACTGGAGCTGAGGATCAGATGGGTGGAAATAAGGGTAGTGTGGCCAAGCCCCAGTGGTGGCACAAAACAAGGGGAAGTCATGCCCAATCCCACGTGGGGAAGTTGTGAGTACAGGTCTGAGCCTGGTGGATCTGAGAACTGATTGTTGAGAATTTAAAGGAAGGAGTTTGAAAATTCATGAAACACCAAAAGTACAGTATTGGGATGGGGCCACTTCTGCAGACAAGGGGGAGGCATTCCCTGGGAGGTCTGGTGGTACAGGGAAAAGGAAAAAGCAGAGATGTCAAGGTGTCCGAAACAAACAATATTGTACAATCAGGAGATTTACCTCTTCTCTCCACACCACTTAGTAAAGAAAATGTGGCACTCCCTTGGTGGTCCAGTGGTTAAGCATCAGCACTGCCCATGCAGAGGGCACAGGTTTGATCCCTGGTCGAGGCACTGAGATCCCACGTGCCCCACACATCATGGGCCATGCCCAAAATTTAACAACAAACAAAATGCCCTTCCCTTACCAGTGTAACTAAGAAGCCTAGTAAACCACCCAAATACCTCCCCTCCCCCTGGGAGCACCTGTTTATGCTGTCCAGGAACATTTAAGTCATTTAAAAATGATCTGAAATGGTAGCATTCATGCAAAATTGCTTACAGGATAAAAAAGTAGTGAGAATCAAAAATATTCCAAGAGAACACCAACATAACACTCCATCATAAGCTGAATATCTTGAAACAAACAAGCACACAAAAAAAAACTACCTTAAACCACAAATTTAAAATCTCAGAATAGAAATGAACCAAAAACTAGGAAGTTAAGGAATAAAGTTAATAACATTTCAAGAATGAAATGGAAAGAAAAGGTATTTTAATGTCGAGAAAACAGGCCCAAAAAGTAACCTGACAGTCTAATGTTGTCGCTGCTTTGTGGGAGATATAGGTTCAGATTCTGGTCCCCAGACTCTGGGTTCTTTTGGTTGTCTTGCCTTCCAGCCATGGTGCCTTCTCAGGATGGTACCTTGGGTTCATCTCTCAGCTGTGCTTCATACTTGTTGTGTTACTTTGGACATGGCGTCAGAAATGGGAGTGACTGCTAACCTCATATGGTGGTTGTGAGGATTAGAGAAGATCGATGTTTGCAAAGCATCATGTTTGGCATTTACCACATTGGAAGCACTCTGGGAATATTAGTGATCTCCAGCTGCTATTTCAGCTATGGTGCTGGTGGCTGATTTTACAGCCTGGTGCTTCAACCTGAGGGCTTGGAGAGTCTTCCCACACTGGCTCTAGGAAAGTGGTTACCATCCCAAATGTTACCGATTCTAGTGAGTTTATGCACCAGCAGAACAGTCAGGCTGGTGGTAGAGCTGGATGAAGTCATTGTAGCTATAGTGAGTTGGCTTGCAATCCAGTCTTTGGAGAAGATTTTCTTGGATTTCTGACTCAGTTTGAACCACTTTCCACTTTTAAGATTGGTATTGGTATTGACATACCACTTGATTCCCAGGGAATCTTTATTCTTCCTTTCCTGCCTCTGTCCCTTCTTCCCATTGGTTTTTTTTTTTTTTTTGTAAAGATATTTTTTATGAATCTTTGTTGAATCTGTTACAATATTGCTTGTTTTATGTTATTTTTTTTTCTGCTGGAATGCATGTGGGATGTTAGCTTCCCAGCCAGGGATCAAACCTGCATCCCCTGAATTGGAATGCAAAGTCTTAACCACTGGACCACCAGCAAAGTCCCCCCTATTTGGTTTTGTGACTGTTAATTAAGCTTTCTCTTTTTGTACATATAGGCATTTCCTTTATGAAATATGAAGCATGTTTAAGTGCTCAGGTGATTTCCATTTTTGTGAACAATACTTAGTGTTTTCAACCATGTAGTGTAGTAATTTATTTTTCTACCACTTTATGAAATACTGCATTTCATATAAACTGGACTTTCACATTATAGGAAAACCATAGTGTTAGGTTATTCTGAAGTTCTTTTATTAACTTTTAATTTTTAAATTTTTAGTTGTAAAATACACATAAGACAAAATATACCATCTTAACCATTTTTTAAGTATACAGTTCAGTATCATTAAGTTTATTCACATTGTTGGGCAACCTGTTTCTGGATTTTCTCCACCAACACTTATTTTCCTTTTTGTTTTTGATAGTAGCTATCCTGACAGGTGTGAGGAGATAATCTTATTGTTGTTTGATTTGTATTTCCCTAAAAATCTGTGATGTTAAGCATTTTTTCATATGCTTGTGGGCCATTTGTGTATCTTTGGAGGTATATCCAGGTTCTTTGCCCATTTTCTGATGGAGTTGTTTGGTTTTTTTTGTTGAGTTGAATTCTTTATATATTCTGAATATTAACCCTTTTCAGGTGTAGATATGGATATCAGATGGATACCTGGATATTAGCGCCTTATTCAGTAGCTATAAATATAACAACAACCTGTGGATAGGACAGATAGATAGCTAGGTAGGTAGTTAGGTATAGATTTGTGGAGTTATAAGTGATTTATCTGTATCTGTGTGTGTGTGTGTGTGTGTGTGTGTATGGGCTGTCAGTCACACCTGACTCTGCAACCCCATGGATGGTAGCCTGCCAGGCTCCTCTGTCCATGGGATTTTCCACGCAAGAATATTGGAGTGGATTGCCGTTTTATACTCCAGGGGATCTTCCCGACCCAGGGATCAAACCTTGGTCTCTTGTGTCTCCTGCATTCTTTACCACTGCACCACCTGGAAAGCCCTAGTTACATCCATATCTCTGTATATAAAAGATATTGGTAATATATGAAGAATATATATTAGTATGTATATCCCTTTTAAATTATATGATATGCAGATTTTTAAATATTTTCTCCCATTCCATGAGTTGGTTGCTATTTCATTCCCTTGAGTCTGTCTTTTGATATATAGGCATTTTTAATTTGGATATAATCCAGTTATCCCTTTTTACTTTTGTTTCTTGTGCTTTTGGTGTCATATCCAAGAAATCTTTGCCAAATCCAGTGTAATGAAGCTTCCTCCTGTGTTTTCTTCAAGGTTCTTATTTTAATGTGTTTGAGAAAATAGCACTGAATACTCAGATATCAGTATATTTTTTACTAATCTTGAAAACTGCAGCCAAATGAAATGAATTTGAGGTGTGGAGTATAATTAAAATAATTGAAAGTGGTATATATGTCAAGATGTCAATCTTTAAGAATTTTAACTTGTTCTTTACACTTAAAGTAGAAATTCACAGCCGGGTTACAACCAAGATAGGAAGTAAAGCTACATAGTTAGGGGTCTTGGGATCATGTTAATAATTAATGGAAAATTTGGAGGATAAATAAACTGATCCTCATATCTAGGATTTTTTTTGTTTTTAATATACAGTCATCTGTTTTTTCCATGTTGATATGATGAGCCAGACTATTTTTTAGACAATGTTTCTCTTGTAAAGTTTAACAGAAAAGTATATTATCTTCAAAAATATTTCATTCTCATCTTGAAGCTCAAAGACCTTTTCAGTTTTTAACGATGGATGGCTACTGTCATATAGATATGATATTTTGGATGATGTTACAGATTTTGGCTTATTCAGCTAGTGGGGTAAGATACTGATTTCAGAATCTTTGAACTTACTTTTTATTCTGGATAACGAGGATTGTCTAGCTAATGTATGTATGACATTAATAATTTTGATAAAATTCCTGTTTTTTCATAAAATATATATTATTTTAGAATAATAAACA